ATCTTGCATCCTTATAGAGAGTAGGAGCACAACAAAATTAAATACTGCCAGTGTCACAAATGCAAGGGCTACAGTAAGTGACATAGGAAAGAGGACCCATCTGAGTGTCCTTCTAAATACAACGCCAGTCTACTGCCATACCACCCTGAATGCGTCCGACATCGTCTAAATACAATGCCAGTATCTTCCCTCACATGTTAGCTACGCCTAGAGTTAGGCAAGCCGGGACTGGCACGTAGCCCTACAGTCCCGGGCCGGCGGGCTCGGTGTGGCCACTGCCGAACTCAGCATGAGCCTTGACTCTGCAGCCAGCTCCTAGAGCTCCTGCTGTCATAGCCGTGCCCCAGCCAGCAGGAAGGACCAGAGGGGCTGTCCAGGAAGAACTGCCTGCCTTGGAGGAGCCTTTGTGGAAACCTTCCATAGAAACCAGCTTCACCCTCTAAACAAGTGCCCAGGTTACAAGCAGTTCTGTTTAGATTTTGTTTGCTTATCCTTAGTCGCACATAATCTTTAGTTGTAAGAGAAGCTAGGAACTACTTTGAGTTGAGCTTATTGCTATTTTAAAAAAATTTGGCATTCTGCTCACTACGAAGGGAAGGATGGCTACCAAGTGAACAACTCCTGATGGGCGTGAGAGTCGCCCAACACCACATGCCTTTGTGTTAGACTCAGAATGCAGTCAGAACTTACCTTTCTATTTTTACCTTTTGTTGCCTGCCCTTTTTCAGCCCATAAAACTTTTCTCTGAGGTGGGAGATGATTTTACCAACCATATGCTTTGGTTTCCTGTAAATGTGATTAGGCATTAAAAACATGCTATATTCTATCCTGAAAATGTGTCAAGGCTAAGTCTCCATAAGCAGCAAAGTAGATTATATTTTGCTTCATCTATTTAGGAAGCTCAAAATTCTGCCTTCACAAAAATAACTTGTACTTAGTGCTAAAATAGCTAAATTTAATGTGACTTCATGGATTACTTATGTGTTCCACCAAAATGAATTCTGATAAAATAGGACTAAAATGATTCTTTTTCTGCAAATTCATATATAGCAGTTGGAAAGCCGGTGGGTAACAGAAGGATATAAAGTAGTTCCTAGATACGAATGTTTTCAGTAACTCCTAAGGTGAGTTTTCACTCTTCACTGCCTTCCCTGGCTTCCCACGCTCCATGAAGCACGTACCTGTTAACAGGCTCTTCCTAGCTTAAATTTCCTGATCTCCTACTAATTCTGTTATCATACTCTGCTGCCAAACTTAGCCACCCCTTTTAGGTAGCCTTAGCACTTAAGTAGCAGATGCCAACAGTGTCCAGCAGAGATCCAAAGCCTTCGCCATCCAGCCAATATGAAATGTTACTCTCTTCTCTTCTTCTGCCTCCTCTTCCTCTCCCTTTTTCTTCATTCTCATTTCTTCATTCTTCCTGCCACCTTTCTGCTCTTGCTCTTGCTTTTCTCTCTTCTCCTCTCTTTGTCTTTCTCATTCTCATTCTTTTTCGTTCTCTTTCTCTGTCTCCCTTTTCCCAGGGGTGTTTTACCACTGACCTGCATCCCTGACCAGTTTGCTTTGGGACAAGGTCTCCTTAAGTTGCCCATGCTACGAATAGACATAGGATCTCCTGCCTCAGCCTCCCAAATAGCTGGTGTTACAGGCACAGGTCACCATCTTGGCCCTATTTCCTGACCTTGCCTTTCTGTAAGGCCTCTGTGTGGTTTTTCTCAGTCCTAAGTGGGATGTAGATGTGCAAGAGTTTAGACGTGATTTGAAGCTCGTTCACCTTAAATTGTTCCTCTTCCTGAGTCATAGGGTTAGAGATGGTGATGGGAGTAGATGCAGAGGCATCTAAGGCTTTGTCTCAGAGTACATCATCTGTTAAACTGAAGCTGTGAAAAGGTGTTAACCATTATAATGGAATGTCCTAGCACCATTATAGGTCTACCTAAACCTAGCAATTGTGAAAGTGACCCGTGCCTGCGTAATAGTTTGCCAGCATACAATACAGATCAGCTGTGTTCCTGGGGTCAGCTCCTTGAGAGGTGGGTTGGGTCCTGTCCCTTCTCTGGGTCACCTTGTGTGTGTTGGGTGAGGATGAGCACTGTCTGGGAAGCAGCTGGTCCAATTCTGTGTTAGGTTTTTAACTATACAAGCCTGTGTCACGAGGTTTAACCCTTATTTTAACCAAGAGTAGATTCCTCTCTATCTCCTCTGCTCTGCAGCAGATACCATCCTTGTGCTTCTGAGTTACCAGCAGCCTAGATTTCCTTCTCCGATTCTAGACTTTCTTCTCAGTTTTGTTTTAAAATAACTGATTAAAATAATATGTAACTTGACATACATAAAACATAAAGTGCTTTTAAAAATCAAAAGCTCATTATATGATGACAAAGTTTATTATTTTCCTTAAAGTTGAACAGTTGACTTTCATGGTCCAAATGATGAATCTGTTAATAATAAATAATTAAATGAACCTTGAGACTTCTTATTAAAAAGTAACATTGTACCTATTAGAGAATATATTATAAAATTTTAAGTTGTGTCAGAAACAAAATGTTTCTATTTGTGCTGTAAAGAAAAAAATGTAATTTGCTCTTAATTCTTGTACTTTTTATGGAAAATGTTTATAATTTTGCTTTTAAAATTTCTTATAAAGCCATTTGCAGATCATACACTTAATTTAATAAAATACTTTAATCACCAAAAAAGAAAAAGAATAAAAATTGAAAGGTCTTTTTAAAGGGAAAATCATCCTAAGTACCAAGTGAATGCGACTTGTAGAGCATTTTATGTCTAAGTACTGTGCATAATGGTTTTGCTATCATTAGCTCATATCTTCCCAGGAACTCTTTTTAAAAAAAAAAAAAAAAATAGATATTTCAATCCCATTTTACAGATAGGAAGACTGAGGCTTGAAGAAGTTTGGCAACTTAAGCAAAATCACATTGTTAGAAAGCAATATTACCAAGATTTAAAGGCAGTTATGTCTAATCAGAAAGCCCATGCTTCTGATTGCTTGACTACTTCCTTGTGTGAGAGTCAGAGGAGACAGACTCACTTGCGTGAAGAAAGCTGTGTCACATCAGCTGCCTGTAACAATGACAGCATGTGCAGGGCATTCGGTGTCAGCAGTCCTGAGTGAGAGTACGGCACTGCCATGGACGCAGGGACACGCCATTCTGGGTCCGGAGGACTCCCTGCTTCCTCCCCGGGTTCCTCGCGCTAAGGCAAAATCATTCTCCATCAGAAGACCACCTGTCAGGAGGGGTGCAGAGGGTGGACCCCAGGTGTGAGAGCAAGCAGGCCGTCCTTCTGCCTCATGCCCTGCCAGTGACAGGGGGCGGTGCCCGCGGACATGCAGAGGAGCCCATCAGAGCGGAGCGCTCCTCTGGGAACTTCCTGTTTGCACACCCGCGCCGCACTTCTCTCCTTCTGGAGTGTGAACGCGACCTGAGGCTGGAGAGGAAGCCTTTGCGTAGCCTCCACCCCCGCTGTGCGTGCGCAGCTCTGCAAAGATGACTTTGGAGAAAGCTTCCTGTTAGATGTGGACGGTGCTGAGAGTTACTTACACACCATGGAGTGGACGTGAGGAGAGAATGCCAAGGGAGGAGCCAGCGGCTGTGCCATGGTGCAGCCTTCTTGGGCAGAGCCCCGCTGACCTCTGCGGGGCAGCAGGCGGTGTTGCTGTAGACGCCTGCAAGGTTGAAAGGTGTCATTGAGACCTGTGCTTCAGTTCCTTCCAGTCCCGTGTGACTGAAGGTCGGCTGTCCGCCTTCCTTGGCCAACAGGCACTTTCCCCTCCACTTCACAAAACCCGGAAGGGTGGAGAGGACGGTGGATATTTATTAGCGTCAGGCACGACTTCGGATGGCCTGTGGCCCTGAACGGCACGGAATAACCCTCCGTGTGAAGCCTGGGTCAGTCAGCGCTGCCAAACGTGCTTTAGACCTTAAGGAACACTAGAAAATATTAAAACCTGGATGAAAGTACTTTCAGTCCTTTATACCAGCAGGTTTGAATATTCTCTTTAATTTTAATATTCAAAGTACAGTTCTTAATTCAACAAAGACATTTTCCTCATGAAAATATTCTTACGTGAAGGTAGGTTGTCTGTGCCATGAAAACCTGATAATGTGCCTCACGCTTTGCCATGTGCTGTGTGTGTGTGTGTGTTTATATATGAGCTGTTCATTTGGAAAGTTGAAATGACTGAATCGCTTAAACTGCACAAAGAAAAAAATGTGTATGGTTTTATTTTACTTTGTATATGGGTCATTTTCTGATGGACTTTTTGTTTTGATATTTCACAGATTCAGATAAATAGCAACTGAAATTACCTGCTATGCAATTGATGGCCAATGCAAACGTGCATAAATGTACTGAATAATATTCCTTGTGTACCACACATTTTTTCCCTTGCAGCATTCAGTAAATAAACATACTCAGAAGTAATAAAATTACCCAGGATGCCCAAGAACTGTATCATGAAGCACAGTTGTGTTCCTGTGCCATAAATTGATTTTTAAACGAAGGTCACTGGAGAGAGGAGTGATTTAAATTAATGTGATTCAATATAGTACTTCCCGATTATAGTACCTTAGATTAAGCATCATAAACATACTGATGCATGGCTTTTGTTGATGAACTCTACTTAACAGTAGTGGAATCCACCTGGTTCTCTTCCCCGACTGCCTTTGGGGGGATATAGCGTAGGATACAGCTAGGAGGGACTAACCCTAACCCTCAGGAACTACCCAGTCTGGCCTGGTGGCACTGCTCTTAGGACAACGGTATTATGCTACCCTCAATATTGCTGTTCCCTGTTGAATTTGTAGATCATTCTGCTCAGATGAATGTGCCCATGACTTAAGGAGTGAAGTAAAAAGCAGCATCAGGTCGGGGGATTCTGGATTATAATGATGGGCTCCTGAGGAGGTTCCTCTTTCTAAGAGCATATGAAAAGGCCACTGGGGAGGCTGAATGCTTGGGTTTCTTTTGTGTCTTAATAGAGCCCGATCAAGAAGGCCTTGATCTAGGTGCAGCTTACAGCAGCGTTGACCAGCAGCTGAATGAAACCATAAGGCACCGAAGACACGCAGGAGAAGACGACTACAACATCGAGGTGCTGCTGGGAGTGGACGACTCTGTGGTCCGTTTCCATGGCAAGGAGCATGTCCAAAACTACCTCCTCACCCTGATGAACATTGTGAGTCATGGCTCCTTTTTGATGCTTTTTAATTTTTTAATTCGCTTCTGTTACTTGGTTAGTGTCCTTTGGAAACCTATATCTCCATTCCAGTGCCTGATAGCCCCGGTGTGTACATGACTGCACTGAATTCAGATTTGAACCTAGGAGTTTAAAATGCAAAAATGCAAACTCAGAGAAAGCATGAAATACGAGTTTCTTTGGGTTGATTAGTGAGTTTTCCATTGTCATCAAGGGAAAACGATATACTTGTACAACCATATGGGATGGAATTAGAAGACAAATCATGATTTTCATTTTGTTTTGGAGATAATCAGAACTGTCAAAACTTTGTCCACTTACTTTGGTGTGGATTGTAAAGGGGGAAATAGTTCTTTCCAGAACTGCTCGGTCTCCTGGGATGATGAAGAGGGATTTATACCTATAGAGCTTTTGAGCATGTGTGATATTTTCAACATTGTAAGACAGACAGTAATATATTTGCAGAGGAAACAGCTGCTGACACAGTGCTGCGCAGCAGTTGTTAACGGGCCCTTAAAATTTGTCCTTCATGCCAGGTGTGGTGGTGTATGCTTGTAATCCCAGCACTTGGGAGGCTGAGGCAGAAGGATTGTTACAAGTTCGAGACCAGCCTGGGCTACAAAGTAAACTCAAGGCCATCCTGAACTGCATAGTGAGATCCTGTCTCAAAAAGACAAAAAAAAAAAGAAAAAGAAAAAGAAAAAAGACCTTGTCTCAACAAACAAAACAAAAAATTTGTCCTTTATTTCTCTTTTCTGAGCCTTATTCATATTTGGAATAAATTTTGTTAGCATCCTCAAACTCAGAGCAGAGAGCAACTGATAGGAATCATAGGCCACCTACCTCTAAAAGATAACTGAGTTAGTGGTGAACTCTTACATATTTTATTTCATGGCATTTAAAAAGAATATTGTATTGGTCTTGTAAGTTTATTATCTAATCCTATTATTTCAATTTTTTCTCTTTGTTTTTGTTTTAATTTAAGTACTTTGGGTATTTATGTCATTTACCGTGCTAAGAACAGATTTCATATAATTATACTGGAAAATAAAAACTCAATTTCATGAATCCTGATTTCTTTTTTTTCTAACATTTAAGCCTATCTGTTATATATATTTTTGTTCATTGAGATGTCAGTTTAGAAAACTGTACATAGACAGTATCATTGTGCAATGAAAATGTACAGTAATTCAAGCATATATTCACTGGCATTAATTCCTCTTATGAAGACAACATACATTAAGCAAGTTAGTAGGCTTGACAGTAAGCATGCAAAGAGGGTCAGTCTTCCCGCATTCTACAAATCCTGTCTACTCTTGACTTCCCCTGTCTTGCTCTGTGACCTGATATGGGCTTGCTCCTAGGCAATGGCTGTCTTCTCCAGGCTCCTCCCCTATGCGTTAGGAGAGGCCTGGAGGGCTGTTGGACGGAGTTCCTGAGTGACTGCAAGTCCCATGCTGTATACTGCTGCACGCACATGGTGCACATTCAATGCCATTTGAATTGTCTAGGTCAAATTTTATTTTCTAAATTAACTAAATCATTAAAATCAGAGACTGTTCTCACTTGCTTCATTACTGTGCTGCTGGGCGGCTCTCTCCTGCCCTCAGGCACGGTCAGCGGGAGATTCCCTAGGCTTCCAGCTGGTGCTCAGAACGGTGGAGGCTGCGGGAGCTGTGAGCCCCCTTGTCCTCACAGAACTCATAGGTAGTTGAAGAGAAAAGATAAATACATGGGACAATTATAAAAATTAAGGAATTAAAAGCATATGATTATTAAGAGACATTTATACACTATAATGTAGATGTCATGATGTTTTAGAAAATGAGTTACGAGCACAGCCATTAATTGTGAAGTGATGGAGTGTTAACCTGGGACTTAGGAAGGTGAGACTGTCTTTCCTTATTTGGCTCCTGTGAACTCAGAAAAACCATGTTTCTTCCTGGGATTTAGTGTCTAAGTTTTTGTAAACTTGAAAGATTAAAAAACAATTTTAAAAATCAACAAAATGTTCACTAATTCTGTAATCAACCCAGAAGCTAGGCATTAAGCTAGACTGTAGGGATTTGTTTTACTGTTGTTTCTTGATCTTCCTGTTGTTGTTTGTTTGTTTGTTTGTTTTGAGATTAGGGTTCTGACAGCAAGCACCACTTAAGCACACTTCCAGCTAGGGAGGTGACAAAACGCACTCCTAATTTCTGATTTTATAACCCGTCTCTTAATCGCTGTTCCACAGGGCTTCCTGGTGGAGGGGAGGTCAGCAGAGGGGAAACTAGCCCACGGAGCAGCAGGTGGGGTCAAATGTAGTAGACCTTAAATGCTGTGCTAAGGAGCATATACTGGATTTTCTAGATATGAGAATACAAGGTCTGATCTGAGAATCAGAATTTTGGTGGTTACGCAGAGAGTGGTCCAGAGAGAAAAGCAAGCCTCTTCTGGGTACTACATTGGTTGGGGAGAGATTTGTTGAGGGCTGAGCCAAAGCTAAAGTAGGATAATGGAAAGAAGATAAATGAAATGGAAATGTGTTAACGGAATACATTTCTTCTTATTTTTCTAGGACTGTTGATTTAAGAATTTTATAATTCTAAATGAATTGATCTTGTTAAGTAAACTATAAGGAAAGAAAGAAAGCAAGAATCATTATGAGTTGAATTGTAGCTATTCTTTGAATGCACTTCAAATCTGAGATCATCCCCAAGTAATTTACAATTCAGTAAAGGGGTATTTGAAAAGTCTCAAGGTTGGCATAAAGTTCTGTGACATTTAATACCCATCTGTGCATTGTTACCCTGTGGAGGTCTTTATTAATTGACTGAACTAGGCTGACATGATGTGAGATATTCCATTTTGAGGGAAACTATGATTTGATTTTAAAAGTGTATTAAAAATATTTGAGTGGCTGGGGATTTAGCTCAGTGGCACAGCTCCTGCCTGGCAAATGCGAGGTCCTGAGTTCAATTTCCGGTAACTCCTCCCAAAAAATTGAGCGAAAAATGTTTATGAAATTTAGTTCATTTTATTATAGCATGCACATGGCTCTAAACCAAGCAACATTTAGGTATTACCTGTAATCTTTTAAACTTATAAAACATTTCCATACAAAAATTGGTGGCAGTGTTCTGCCGGTCCTTGGGGATTTCAGCAACAACACAATACAAACAGATCCAAAAAGAGGGGACCTTTGAATTAGAAGAAGTTTGGTTATGTAGTCAATTAAGACTGATTTAAATAACTTTTGAAAGGAAAATTTTAGTTTTAGAAAGCTAATATACTGACATCACCTCTGCATGAAGATCTTTAAAAATGTTTGATCAAGAATGCCAGTCACTCTGGATCGGTCATGGGGACCCTTTTAGAGATGAGTGCCCCATCTGCAACTCAAAGCCCACTTAGTTATCGAAAAGTGCCAACACTGCAATTAAACTTGAATACTGAGGCTTTTGTTTAGAAAAAGCAACTTATCCAATGACATCTTTTGTCTTAAAAAAAAAATAACATGCAGTGCTATGGGTCGCCAGCATTACTCTAGAGTTTGCAAAATCTGCTTCCACTGGAAATCTTGTGTAGTGTCCTCCAATAGCTTGTGCTGCAGAGTTGGACACTTTTGCTCTTGACAGGTTAAAATAAGAAGCATCAAATTTGATAAAAGTGATCAAATAAAAACCGCTTTAAATTTGGAAGATTGATTTGCAGAGAGTATAAGCTGCTGGTGTTGTAGATCATGCTGTTTTTTGAAACCTGTTAAATTTTTATTGGAAGCTAGAATCCTCTTCGCTGCTCTACACTCACCTAGTGCTGACCCTCATTCATCTGTCTCTGTGCAGCATGAGCATTTTTCTTTTTCACATTCTCTGTTCCATGCCTTTTTGTGATGCTGTTTGAAGATGTGACTTTTTTTTGTCAGTTCTTTGCTTCTTTCAGTGCTTTTCTGTTTACCATTTTCACTTATGACAATAAAGGAAGGTTAGAAAACTGTTGCCCAGTCCATGCGTAAAATACACCAGCTTGCCTGGCTTGTGTGGTAGAAGCGGTAGGACGTGTGAGTGGACCCACGGGCTGGGAGAGGGAGCCTCGGGGGCCCACACTGTTGTTGGCATGAATGTTTTGCTGCACAAGGGTATAACTTATGTAGCCAAGATGGGCTCTGAAAAACTACTGTGCAGTCATTGTTGGTGATGAAATCTTTCACAGTGTTTGAAATCATCTAGGTCCAGATTCAAAAGAAAGATTTAAACATTTAAAGCACTAAACATTTCAGTGCTTGTTCTGGTCTTGGTCCTCTGCCAAGTATTTTTTTATGACTTCAGTACTTATCGTGGACTCAATACTTCCTAAAACCAAGATGTATTCATTGGTTTACAAAGGAGGAGAGGGGGCTTTGGGGAATGTGAGTGTGTTCCCAGCATGGGATTGCTCATATGTGTCCATGGGACACACTCTGACAGATGTGTTTGCCTGGAGCTCGGACTCCTAACCCCCCAGCTTCACTGTGTCTCAAGACAAAGCAGAAGCCTCTGCCCTGTCCCTTGCCAGATACAAACCTTGCCAGGGTCTTCCATTTACCAGCTTCTGCGTCTCATCATCCAAGTCATTTATGTGAGACCCTAATGACTTGTGGATTGAATCAAGCCATCCGTTTAAGAGTCACTGACAGGATGGGAAGGCAGATTTTTGGTAGGAGGGTAGCTTGTTTGCTTTCATTGTGGAGATCTTCCCTGTCACCCATGGACCGCCTGTGGTGCATGGCAGGTGTCCTTGTCTTTGGCTGAGAACTGTGAAAACATTTAAAATAATGAATACCATTAATAAAATAAATAACATTTGACAAAATAAATAACATTTAAAATGATCATTTAAAATAATTCTAGCTAGTATCAGAAAGAAAGAGAAAGAAAAGAAAAGAAAAAAGAAAAGAAAAGAAAAGAAAAAAGAAAACAAGGGGAAAGAGATGTTCAAGAGACTAAGGGTGAGGAGTG